CGGGGGTGCGTGGGTGGGTGATGTGCCCTCTCTCCCCCAGCAGGGGGTGCCCGAGCTCTTAAAGGGCCAGCAGCTTAAGAATTACTCCCTACCTGCTCTACTTCCCCTGTAGTCCCTGGGGGTTTCCCGCCCCCATCCAGGCACAGCTCGGCCCCGCCTTCCCCCCCACAGAGTTCAAGGAGGCCTTCTCCCTCTTCGACAAGGACGGCGACGGCACCATCACCACCAAGGAGCTGGGCACTGTCATGCGCTCGCTGGGCCAGAACCCCACCGAGGCCGAGCTGCAGGACATGATCAACGAGGTGGACGCTGACGGTGAGGGCCCCGGCCCCGGCCCCGGCGGGCGCAGCCATGGGCTCCCCAGGGCGGGAGCGACCTGTGGCCCCAGCAGCCTCCGTGCTTGTGCACAAGGCAGATGGGGACAGGGAGCGGAAAGCAGAGTGGTAGTTGGGGGAGGGGACACAGGGCTGGAGGCTGAAAGAGCAGTGGATTGGTTTGGGACCGGGAGTAGAAAGCAGAGCAGTAGGTTGGGGAAGGAGCTGAAAGCCGAGCAGTGGGCAGGACAAAGCAGTAGCTTGGGAAAGGAGCAGACAGCAGAGCAGCAGGTGGGCCGGGGAGCAGAAAGAGCATCTGATGGGGCACTGGATGCAGGGCAGGGAGCCAGAAGCAGAGCATTAGACAGGGCAGGAAACAAGTGGAACAGCCAATGGGGAAGGGACTGCATGGCGGGGAGCAGAAAGCAGAGCGGTCGATGGGGAAGGGACTGCAATGTAGGGAACAGAAGGCAGAGCAGCGAATGGGGCAGGGAGCAGAAATCAGAGCGGTTGATGGGGCCGAGGGCATGACAAGGAGCGGAGCAAGCAGGTGGGATGGGGGCTGCAGGGCAGGGAGCGGAAAGCAGAGCGGGGCATCGAGCAAGGGGCAGAAAGCAGAGCAGCAGCTGGGGCAGAGCCCGCAGGGCAGGAAGCAGAGAGCAGAGCGGCGGATGGAGCTGGGGGTACAGGGCAGGGAGACGAAAGCAGAGCAGCAGGTGGGGTCAGGGATCGGGGCAGCTCTTGTGGAGGCTGTGGGGCTCCCCCCCCCC